GTGACTTCTAACAGGGCTGAAGATGTCTGCATTAGGGTTTAGCTGCAGGGCCTGAAAAGGGCTTGCCATTGTCTGGGGCTGATTAAGTCGATGAGTAATGTATCCTCCTTGTGTAAAAGACAATAAATCATCTCTTAATGTATCTAATTCGCTTTTAAATTTACTAATGTTTTCCATTTGTTCTTTTTGCCACTGTTGTAGTCTCTCTTGTTGTTTATTTTGTTTCTTCTCCAACAGCTGTTGTAATCTCTCTTCTTGTTTCTTTTCTTTTTCCTTCAACAACTGCTGTAACCTCTCTTGTTTATTTTGTTGTTCAAGCTGCCACTGTTGCATGTTTTCTTGCAACTGCTGTTGTCTCTCTTCTTGTTTCTTTTCTCATTCTTCTTGTTTCTTTTCTTGTTTATTTTCTCGTTCTTCTTGTTTCTTTTGCTGCTCTTGTATTGCTGCCATCAAGTCTGCTAAGCTGTAGTTTGATTTTCCGCCTCTTGTTTCCATTTTTTTTATCCCACTCTCTGACACCAATTTGTTACGTCTCCGTTCGTTCGTTAATTTTCCGTAAATTCGTTCTGACGAAACTTTAGCGACACAAGTCTTTTCTTAAATAAAACTGGTTTATTCTTTCCGAATACAACTTTACGATACACTTAATTTCAACAGTCGCTCTATAACAACGCTATAACTCACGTCTCACGTGGCCAACAATATTTTGTCCGCATACATTCAATTACTCATTACCTCCCCGTCGCTTCGTGGCCGGTCTTATATATATACAAGACTACACTATCTCTAGAAGGATCACGAGATTTAAGGAAAAGACGTGAATGTTCGAGAATGACGTGGTGTGATACTAGTCACGTGACCTCGATGTCGTAACATTTGCAATTTTATCAGCGCGTCAATTAATCAAGCACTATCAACATTGTATCTCTCCATTTCCACTTTTAAAACGCATGTTTACTTGTAGTTTGTCACTCATGTTGCAGCCTTGGTTTCTTCTTCTCTTTCCTGTATTTGTCAACATCCATCCAGCAATGAAGTAGAAATTACCTTTCATCTTTTTTCCTGATCTCCACATACATGGCTTTCCCAAACGCCTTGAGACGTTTATTCATGTTATTTCAGCATTCAAAATCCACGTTTCAAATAAATAACCCACTCCAAATAACTCCAACCACCTTAGTCTAAAATTCTTCTTTTGCATGTGTGATATAACCATAATTCCACTAGAGGGGTAAAAAAAAACAGATGTTTCTGACCGCCCCTGGTTATCTCTCAGACCACTTCTGGGCATGAAAGATACTAAACAAAAATAATTATCAAGAATCGGACGGCACAGTTGACTCGAATAATATATTCTGTGGTTCGGCTTATTTGTTTGTTTTGATTTTCGCGCAAAGCTACACGATGGGCTATCTGTGCTAGCCGTCCCTAATTTAGCAGTGAAAGACTGGAGGGAATACAGCAAGTCATCACCTCCCACTCATAAGTCTTGGGCTACTTTTTTATCAACGAATAGTGGGGTTGACCGTAAGTTTATAACGCCCCCGCGGCTGAAAGGGCGAGCGCCCTAACCACCCAGCATGCTGGGCCTGTAGTTCGGTAGAGCTTCATATGAGGTCAAGAGGTAGATGAAGGTTTGATTGTGAGTTGAGTTAGATTGCAGGCGGGTTTAAATTAGGTTTTTCAATGTTGACTGTATTTCATGTTTGTTTGTTTTATCATTCTCTGATTTTATTTTGCTACAACTTACAAAATCCTCAACTGTTTATAGTTCGCCCCCAATATTATGTCTGCGAACTTACAGCGCTAGAAACCAGGTTTCGATCCCCGTGATGAACAAAACACAGATAGCCTATTGTATAGCTTTGTGCTTAATTACAAACAAATAAGTATATAGTTCGTACTTTTTTGGATTAGGCTTAGTTCAGTTTTTGACACTAACTCACAATCAGGGGCCACGAATAGCCGTTGGTAAGTCTAAGAGCTTATAACACTAAAAATCGGGTTTCGAAACTCCGTAGTGGTTAAAGCCAAATACACCATAAGTTGTGTTTATTGTTGTTGTTGAACAGTTAGCGCAAAGATCACAGTGGGCTATTTGCACTATGTCCTCCACAGGGAATCAAGCCCCGGAATTTAGTGTTGTAACTGTGTAAACTTACCACTGGTGGCTCTTAAACTAAAACAAACAACCAAATTTGTTTATTTGTGTTCTTCCAAGTTTACCTTTCTACAGCACCACCATTTCACACACCCACACCAATACTGTGTTTCTTGTTTGGTATGTGAGATCTCTGAGGATTTGTGGCGAAGAAGAGAAATACAGGCTTGCAAAAACAGCATGTTCATGCACCTCGGAAGCGAATGTGTTTCTTTTCGGGTGTGACTGTTGGGCCACACACACAAATGAAACCGAAAAAGATTTTCCACAGAATGAAAAAGTTTATTGAGCTCCAATGTAGACTATACACACAGAACACAATAAAATGCAATACACTACCAGAGAACTGGCAAGTAACAGTGTGTACGCGTACTTTAAATGAAAAGTGTAGGTTAAGCATAAGTTGACAAATACTTTATAAGAACAAAAAGCTTTTGATGGCTCTGTGCTTCCTCCCTGCAAACTAAACTGTGAGGTAGAATAATAAACGAAAGAAAAACAACGCCAAGTTAAGTTACGTTACCCTAATTTTAGTCTACCTTAATAAAATAAAGATACGCTCAAGTTGTGAAATTCTACCTTGGGTTCCACTTACAGTTAAAAGACATTCACAAAACAATAAATAAACAAAATACAATTCTAACAATACCAGAGCTAACATTCCACTAAGATTACTAAAACCTATCCACATAGGGCAAAAAACCCTAAAAAAAACGTTAAAAACCCCAATCCACTAGCGCTCGTCCTAAATTAAATGAAAATAATGTTACGACAGCGGAAATCACGAGACTCTGGTAACACATCATGAGCTTCTCGAAGGATCTTGACTTTTCCTGGCAACTCCAGACTTTTCTAGGCGCCCTCTATTCTAGTATATAAGCCCTGCAAATAAAGCGGAGAGATAATTGCAGATAGACAGAAATAGAGACAGATAATTGAGTCAAGTGAGCGTTAGTGACTGTAAGTAAAGTGCGTGAATCGTTGTGAATTATAGCGTGTGTTTAAGTTAAACTAACTGTGGAAATTCTGTTTATTGCAAAGTTGTACTGAGAAAGAATAAACTAGTTTTATTTAAGAAAGGACTTGTTTTCGCTGAAGTTCCTCGGGTAAGCTAAACTACATCTAACACTTGTAGGAGGACTTTAAGAGTTCTCCTAAAACAAGACAAAATGTAATAAAATATGTGGCACACCCAAAGTTACACACATAGTTCTAATGCGAGAGCTTTACGAGTTTTCGCTATATATTAAATTAATACGTTACTGAAGAATCTACGTTGAAAGCTGTATACAATCTGGTAGTATCTACATAATTTTTCTATGTAAAAATCTGTGGGAAATCTTATGAAGTCCGTGGAAAATATTGGTAAAATCTGCTCTCTCAGGCCCCAACACTTATAAATATTTCAATAAATTCATGAGTGTCTCACCGAAGAAAGCAGTGCTTGTGCTTGTTAGACCAGTTGCCCAATGAGCAATGAAGATCAGGGACGAATCCACCTGCAGCTACTACCTGATTTTGCCTACAATAATAACTCGCCACGCTAATTAAAAAGCAGATTGTTATTCCTGCAAGAGAATAATATGAACCTGGTCTGTCAAATGACCAAAACACTGATCATAAACTGAGAGAAAAGAATCATACAAGACGGCATCTAATTTCCACTTGACCGTCGGGAAAAATGAAAGTTAAAAAATTTGCTTGAGCAATGCTGTGTTCTAACCAGGGAACCACAGAAAGAAAAAATTTGTGAACCTAGCTTTAGACTAAAATGAGTGGAAAACGTGTATAACAGCCCGGTAGCACAGTCATATATTTTTGGTATGTCATGTATTCAAACATAAACAATTATTATATTGGTAGACAGCGGAAGTCACGTGACGTGCGTGATGAGTTTCTCGAATGATCGGGGAAGTCCGAGTGTGTTCGAGATGCCCTCTTCGTTAGTATATAAGCCTGGAAGAGGAAAGCCAGCAGGGGATATATAAATGAAGAGAGAGAGCAGTAGTTTCTTTGAGTTCCGTGTAATTTATGATTCTGTTAGTTTCGAGCGAGTGAGCCGTAAAGTGTGTGTTTGCACTCGTCGAGAGCGAAGTTATCGAGATTGTGAATTGCTGTGATTTATAGCATGTATTATAAAAGTTGTTAAGTTTAAAGTGACGAGAAACGTACTGATTGTGGAACTACTGTATACTAAAAGTTTGTATCAGTAGGAATAAACTGGTTTAATCAAGAAAGGACGTGTATCACTGAAGCTCCTCTGAAAGAATTTCTACCGGAAACGAACAAACAAGCAGATACAATATTAAGTCTCTTCTATCACAGTATTAGAAGTTTGTTAATTAATTTTCAAAATTTCCCTCAAACTACACATACAGATGTGCTTTTATATATTGTGGTAATAACGTTCTTTTCGTTTGCGGGCTCTTATTTGGTGAAAATAATTCATTGTTCATTCCACGTGAAGAAAAAAGTGTACTTTATTTCCTCCTTTAACATTTCTATGAGCTTGAAAACTTGTACACTGCCATAAGTTCTTGTATGAGTGTGTTACAAATGGCGTTCAAACATCTCTATAAAATACTGTTGCGTCAGCGAAGTCATATGACTAGTGTCACGCC